AATGGGAAGTCTTGCGGGAAGCACAATGAAAAGTGTATAAAGACATTGAAGTTATTAAAAACAACAACAAAATAAAAACTGCTAAGTAAATTCAGCCTCAGGATTGCTGGTTTGAACCTCTGGGGTATAGGAAGTGCTGACTGCATGGGGAAGAGCATAGAAGAAGTAGAGACTAATTAAGGAACCCCTTCATGTAAAATATAACCAGGACAAAAACAAGAGAAAATCTGCAGAAGGGAACAAGAAGCCAACTTAAAAATATTTAGGAAGGGAAAAAATCATAGGCCATGCTGACCGATGGGAGGAAAGACAAAGAAGTCAGACTAAGTTCCAAGTTTCTGGCTAGATGACCGGATATTTAATGAAAAAAATTCAACTCTATAGAATTGGCAGGTAGATGTGCACACAGTCTTTGAAATTTAACGAAATAAAAGTAAATAATAAAGAAAAATTAACAAAAAGAAATGGCAGGTAGAGATTGTCAGGTAGGTAGACAAAATGAGTTTAGTTTTCAAATGTTGAGTTCGGAATATCTGTCGTCCAAGTGCAAGCTCCCAGTAGATGGCTGGATTTATATATGCAGAGTGCCCCAAAAAAAAAATTTCTTTTGAATATCTATCTAAATTGAAGGTAGACAAATAGGCTGAAGACAAATAGGCTTTCTCTCTGCTGACAGATTATCACAGAATGCTTTGAAAATATTAATAATTTTTAAAATAATAATGTTTTTTATGGCAACATTATTGTTATAGTAATAATGGGTTGGAAACGGAGATACAGGAGTTACCAGATTATAGGTGAGAATTAACAACAGAGAATTTATTATTGTCCCGAAAAAAAGTGTGAGCAAAATTATAGAGAATAAATTCTTTAAACTTCTGGATGCTTTTGTATCTGTAGTCATTCTTTACGTTCATGATATCCTAAAATTCTTTTTGTTTACTTTTGTATTTTTCTTATGTAAATTTGAGATGTGAAAATGACAATGACAAGCTGTACAATTTAGCTAGGGTATTAGAGAAATCAGCTTGTAAATAACATATTCAGATAAATTGTAACATATACCTATATTTTTAACATACTTTGTCAAAAGCATATATCATATAATTCCATCCAGTTACCTTAGATGATTCCTTGCTAATGATTTTATTTGGCAACACATAGATATACCAAAAAGGAAGGGTGAATACAAGTGTATAAGGCAAATAGAGATAAATTATACATCAAGAATAGCACTGCCATTGTCTGAAGGATTCTGTTTTCAGATTGTGCCTGTGTGTGTGTGTGTGTGTGTATGTATGTCCTTACAGCTGTTAGTTCACGAAAAAGCAGGAAGTTCAGTTTTAAAAACTAAGGCTAGTTCCAGCTAACATGTTGTTTACTATCCCTATTTCCAACCAGGAATTACTCAACCCCAATAAAAGCCTTTTGACTGGAACATTTGGGAACGAAATTGGTATGAGCAAAGGGTTAAACAGACTCCCACATTAAAGCACAAACATCTCAAACCTAAGAATGGGTCAATCCCTATCCAAATGTTTATTTTGGGTCCAACTACAAAACCTGTTTAGAGTCAACTTCAATTAGCGAAGACGACTACTAGAAGGATAATGGAGAAATAGAGTTCCCAGCTCTTTTTTTTTTTTTTTATCGGTTTGCTCAACATTTTAAAACGAATTAAAAGCAGATGTTGAAATTGCTGCCAACTGTTCACTTGTCATCTGTGAATGGGAATTAACTTGGTTTTGTTCATCATTCAATTAAATGTTAAGCTTCAGTAGTTTAAAGAGCCTGGGAATGCAGGTCCTGATGGGATTTTAAAAAGGCAAATAACTGAACTAATTTTGACAATTGTGAAAACATTTGTCCTTGTAAGGTACAAAGGGAAATTCTTGGGAAAGTTTAGAATTCTGAAACTCTCACACAATAGCTGCAAAAACAAAAATCAATATTTTGTTATTTAACAAGAACTCTTAGGCACTATCTATGCGTTCAGCCTTGCATTTGGTGCAGTGGAGGCTACAGAGGAACTTAAAAACAGTTGCCATTCTCAGAGTTAAAGAATACAAGATGCTGTATGATTCAGTGCCCAGATGAGAGCGCCTGTTGATGGTCCTAAACTAGGTGAGAGGCGACAGAATGTAAGAAGGGTTGAGATGATATAAGCAGGAATCTCAGGGGCAAGTTTCACTGAACAATGAAGAATGTGTAGGATTTAATATAACTTCATGTAGCAGCCAGCCTCTGAGATGGCCCCCAGTGATTCTTGCCTTTGGGTATTCAAGCCTTTGTTGTGGTTCCTTCCCACATTGAATAAAGCTGACCAATAAGATACTGCAGAAATTACGACTTCTGAGGGTAGGTAATAAAAAAATGTTGTCGCTTCAATCATGGTCTCTGTTGAACTCTTACTCTGCGGGAAGCCAGCCACTATGTTCCAGCAGCCCATGGAGAGGCTCATTTTGGGAGGATCTGAGGCCTCCTGCTAACAGTCAACACCAACTCATCAGGCATGTGAGTGAGCCACCATGGAACTGGATCCTCCAGCCCCACTGAAGCCTTTAGATGACTGCATGACTGCAACCCTGGCCAACATCTTGCCTCCAACCTCAAGAGACCCTAAGCCAGAACATCTAGCTAAGCTGCTTCTAGATTCCTGAATGCACAGAAATTGTGAGTTAAGTATTTATTGCTTTAAGACATTGAGTTTTGGGGTAATTTGTTGTGTAGCAGTAGATTAAAACATCTCATTAGGTCTTTGTCTTCACCTAAGAATGCACAAAAGTCAAGAAAAGGCTGCACGAATATGGAATAAATGATCAAGAGCTATGATCATTTCTCCATCTCTTTTTAACAAATGCTAAAATAATATTTCAATGAAAACTGAATTAAATTCTACTCACATAACAACTATGACCATGCAGATGAGTTCATAATCCTTACCTGTCCCTGAACCCAACCAGCCATTTCTATATAGGTGAATAGTTTAATCCATTACAAAAGTACTTCAGAAAATTCCCTAGTTCGTTTTACAAATATTTATGGAGATTCTACTGCGTCATAGGCATGGTAGAAATTAAGTACATGTAATACAGTATAAATGACATAATTATATGGCTCAGAACACCAAATAATAGATGCAAAATCTTTTTATGTTCTCTACAATTTCATTTAAAACCAAGACATTTAAATTTTCTCGTTATGAGAAATACATTTTGATTTGATTTGATCCAAGGATAATATGAAATAATACACCTTCCCATTAGAATGTGGGATCTACAATTAGATGCACAAATGCAGGTAGGGGATACACCCTAAGATTTCATAATGAAATCCTCTCTAGTTCTTGAAAAGTGTTTTTGTTTTGTTTTAAGCAGAGGTCCATTATGAAAATTTAACGAATTCTACTTGAGGGAGTGAAACCTGTCTCAGAAAAATAAAAATAAAATAATAACAAAGAAAAAGGAGTCAAAGACCTTCCAAGTTTCAAGTACTACTTGGCCTCTCAGCTAGATTTCTAGAATTATCACTAGAGGAAAAAGGATGTCCGAGGTCTTGAATATCATGACCTTGGAGCAAATACTGAGTAGAACTTACAACAGGTTGATGAATAAAGAGCAAATGGGCAGGGCATGTTGGCTCACACCTGTAATCCCAACATTTTGGAAGGCCAAGGTGGCTGGATCACCTGAGGTCAGGAGTTCGAGATCAGCCTGGCCAACATGGCAAAACCTCGACTCTACTAAAAATACAAAAATTAGCCAGGCATGGTAGCACACGCCTGTGGTCCTGGTTACTCGGGAGGCTGAGACGAGAGAATTGCTTGAACTTAGGAAGCGGAGGTTGCAGTGAGCTGAGATCATGCCACTGTACTCCAGCCTGGGTGACAGAGTGAGACTCTGTCTCAAAAAAAACAAACAAACAAACAAAAACAAACAAAAAAACCAAAGACACAAATCCCCAGAAGATACTATCGCTAAACAATTTCGGTTGAAATCTTGTCCCCAATGGGTTATACATCACTAAGATATTGACCCTGTCTAGACCTGGCTCCCTAATTTGTGAGGACTAGTACAAAATTAAAACCAGTGGCTCCTTGTTCCCAATTTATTAAGAATTTCAAGATGGCAACACTAGAGTGTGAAATTAAGCACAGAGTTCTTCTAAGCATGTGGTCTCATGCTATTGCATAGACTACATGTCCATGAAGCTGTCTCTGGCTCCATTAAAGAACACAGAAGTCAGAACTTTCCACTTTACTTTGACAGAATAAAGAACTGTTTTAAAATGTCAAGTGACATATTTTTAATGGGAAAATATTCTACTAGAGACTATAAAGCAGTTGCTGATTTAATTATACTCAAAATGAATCATAATTGAGTACTAGAATCTTCTTAACCAGTGAACAACTGCTTCTCATGTCAATGACTGAATAGGTTTTAAAACCATTTTTTGAAAAGTTTCTGAAAACCTACTGGCAACAATTGAAGGGACCCAGGGGAGGTCCTGAATATTAGAATGGTAATGTGACCTAGATTACGTCTTTTATTCTTTTTGATAGAAGGCATCTAAAGTCTCATTCTATGTTAAAAGAAATGTTCCCTAACAGAGGACTGAACATTACAGAGATCCAGACCTTGGAAGTGGGTGCAGTACCATGCAGATCTGTATTATTGCCTTTTAGGGAAGAGAGCGAACATGTTTTTGGTTGTAAATGAGATAGCTGTACTATGTTTTGTATTTATTTTAATAAAAAATAGGTTTTAAAATTATGAAACACTTTCCATACCTAAGTATAGACTCTGTAAAGAATACTGGCCACCTATGTGGCCACCTTGGGCCCTTAATATTAAAAAATTAATGCAAACTCCTCCCTTTCCCTGAATGTAACTGCCATTCCGAGATTTCTATGTATCATTCCCCTGCATTTTAAACTCATATGGATCTATTTTTAATATATTGTCTTTTAAACACCAAATATAAATGATACCATACTTTACCTATCCGTCTGCAATCTGTTTTGCTCATTTAACAGCGTATTTTTCAGTTGTATCCATATTGTTACATGCAGTACTACTTCATCACTGTTGTTTTCAGGGCTTGCAAAAGCATTTCTTTAGGTCCATCCTCCTGAGCGTGTGCTCATGCCAAGGGCCCGGTGGTGGCCAAGTGTTCGCCCATGTGGTGTGAAGGGGAAGTGGAATGGGAAGAGAAGGATTTTGGCAGCTCTCCTTTCCTGGAATTCCAGTCCTAGAATTCTAAATTCGGACTTGATCTTTCAGACTGTTAGGAAGATATATTTAAGTTAGGAGGCTAGAACGTATCTCCTTTAGTATTTAGCTTGATTTACAACTTTTAAATATTCAGACAAAAAGTATGCGGGCCTTCACTTATACTTTCGACGGGGCCTCACAAATAGGGGTGGTCCTGCCCCTTTCCTTACGTCCCACTTCTTTCTGCAAATTAAATTGCTACAGCAGGAAATTACTGAACTGTGGCTCTTCTCCTACGTCCGCCTTCCCTGTGTCAATTCCCATTTCCCTGGGTTTCTCAAATAGTTAGGACTCTAAATTCTAACTTTGTTAATTTCGACGCCAAGCTGGAATGAAGACGCTAACTGGACGCCAAAACGAGACGCTGTTACCACACAAGGCCTCCAACTGGGACGGCTCCCACCGAGCTCCGCCCACCCCGCCCCGTCCGCGGCACCGTGGCATCCTGGGACATGTAGTCTTTGGAGGGGCAGCTGCCTCCACCAAGTCTCCTCCCCCAAGACGCTGCCTTTCGGCCTCGGGACGCCGTGACGCTGCGTTCCTGCAGTCCCTTGCCACCTCCCTCTTTCTTCCCGTCTGGGGAAGCTCAGTGCTGGACTTCCGAAGACCTTTTACGACATTGGGTCTCGGAGTTGGTCTCAGCGCGGGATCCACTTTTCGGCAAAGTGACGTGGACGTCAACAGCAATGGCGGAAGGAGAAGAGGTCCTGCCGCTGCCAACGTCGAGCGGCGACAACTGGTGAGTGAAAGCCGGGGCTAATTCCCAGTGCCCCTTTATTCTTCCTTCTCAACATCCTGCCGGTCCCCGAGGAGCCGTCTGGCGTCGGCATAGAACGGAGAGGCCGGTCCTAGGCGAAGTCCGGTGCCCTGCCCCGCCCCCTCTGCCTGCCGGGTGCCCCCTGCCTGCCAGGTTCTACCCGAGGGACTGGGGCGGGACTCCCAAGGAGAGGGGTGTCATCCAGGTGCTGGGCCTCAGAACGGTCCTCCCATGTCGTCCGTCAGTCTCCAAAGTGTGCTGGAGAGGGTGGCTTCAGGGCTGGGTTTGGCCGGAGTCCCTGGCTGTGGGAGTTGGAGTAGGCTGAAGACGGAAGTTTGTTGGATGCAGATCTGAGGCACTAAAATACAATATGAAGAAAAGACGTTTTGAAATGACCACTGCGAACTTTGCTTGAGGGTTCAGAGGTTGACCCCAGGAGGATCCCTTCCACGTAGCTGGTATACTTTTTTTTATTCCGGCTGTTATCTCGTTTTGCATTCCAACAGTTTTCATCATGCGTCTCCTTCACGCAAGTCGTCGTTTCCCCTACGACCACGTTTCTCACAGCTCGATTTCTGAGCTTTGGATGCAGTGTGGGACTTTGCTCTTGCTGCACCCAAGCTTTTGCATGCTTACCTGATTTATAGTCGGGATTGTGGGGGAGGACCGCCAATAATTTTTTGGTAAATTGCTTACCCAGTGTTAATCTTTGGGAAAGGCTTCTACTTTTGAAATAGTTGATCTCACAGTACGTTGTTATGTTCTACAACATCACTTTTGAAAAAGGGACCTTTAGAGGCTTGTCTAAGTTTTACAGTTGATCTAAGTGTATTGACCACATGTATTAGTTTTGGGTTTACTTGTTCGTTATATTGTTTGTGTACATGGGCACTTTAAAAATAATACAGGACATTCATAGACCTCGACTTTAATCCCAGAGGAAAAAAATGGAAATCGTTGAAAGGGATAGATAATTAGTAATTAAGAAATTGAGCTCTCCATTAGCAGACATCAAACATTCCTTAGCGCTGGGCTCTCCAAGGTGTCAGAGGAACACTTCATGGTGATCTAGATGTAGTTTTTGTTCTTCAACTTGCTTATGTTGGAGTTGGGGAGGTATAACAAGGTAAAATTAATCTCATTCTTTGTGAGCGTGATTAAAAGTATTACGAGAGGTTGGCAGTGGGGGCTGGGGCAGTTGGAGTCACTGGGGGAAAGCTTCATGAAAGCAGCAGCATTTCAATTAGGCTTTGAAGAATGAGTAGGATTTAAACCCCAGGGCTGTCTGATAGAAGCCACATATTGTAATTTAAAATTCTCCAGTAGCAGCATTAAAAACTAAAAAGAAGCCGGGCGCAGTGGCTCACGCCTGTAATCCCAGCACTTTGGGAGGCCGAGGCGGGCGGATCACTTGAGGTCAGGAATTCAAGACCAGCCTGACCAATATGGTGAAACTACGTCTCTACTAAAAATACAAAAGTTAGCGTGGCGTGGTGGCGCGTGCCCGTAATCCCAGCTGCTCAGGATGCTGAGGCAGGAGAATCGCTAGAACGCGGGAGGCAGAGATTACAATGAGCGGAGATCGAGCCACTGCACTCCAGCCCGGCGACAGTGTGAGACTCCGTCTCAAAACAAAGAAAAACAAAAACTGAAGAGACACAGGTGAAATCAGTTTTAATAATCTATTTAACATACTTCAACATGTAATTAGTTTGAAAATTATATAATTGTACATCTTTTTTGTGCAAAGTTTTCAAAATCCAATGTGCATCTTACATCTACCTTATATTTCAGTTTGCTCTAGCCACATTTCAGATATTAAATATCCACCCATGGCTTGGGGCTAACATATTAGTGCAGGATCAGATTAAGAGATGGAAAAGGCCTCTGAATGGAGTAACAGCATAAGCCAGGGTGTAGACAAGGCAACTAATTTGTTTTGAGAGTAAGAATGAGAACTACCTGGTTGGAAAGAAGTTGCAGAAAAATACGTCTTTTTGCTTCTGGTATCCTGCAAGAATGGCAGGAGAAAAAAGAAAAATAGGTCTGGAAAAATAGTAAAAAAAGTTTTTAACTAATTAAAACAACCTTTTATCAGTGACAGACATTACAACACTTTTCAGAAAGTGACCTAGTTAATTATAGCCTGAAGTTTGCTGTTTTGGAACGGTGAATTGTATCATAACCTGGCCTTCACCAGCTCATTGAGTGCCATGAGGGGAAATGTTTCCACAGTTAAGGTGCCTCTGGGGAGTTCTTAGGTTTGAGGGATTGTGAGCATGTTCCTGGTTCGCAGGGGCAGAGGACATGGAGTGAATGTTTACTAGAGACAGCATTTGTTCTCTTGCAGGATTGCTGTATCTTTGGTGTGTCTTTGTATTTTTGCTGGTTTTATTTTCATGAATGGAGGAACACTGACATGGTCAGTGATTTCTGTTTTTCCTCCATCCTCTTCTAATCTTTCTCCTTTTTCTCCTAGCACTCTCATCGTCCCCCCAGAAGAGGGTTTGAATAGAGTCAGGAAGACTTTGGGATTGGGAGCCATAGGTTCAGTAAAGCCTGTGTTCTTAGAGTGCTTGGTGAATGGGTTATAGAATGGGGATGCTTTACTCTTTTTTTATTTTGTTTTAAGAAACGAGGTCTCGCCATGGTGCCCAAATTGGCCTCATACTCCCGAGTAGCTGGAGACTACAGGTGTGCCCTATCTATATGCGTCCCGGTGTTTTACGCTCTCTTCCCTCCCTCTCCCTCCCTCGCTCTGTTTCTTTCTCTCTTTTTGAAGCAAATGTTTTTAACTCCATCAGATGGAATTTTTTCCAAAATACATCGTATATCTTACTGCCTAGCTCAAAGTCATCTTAACGACTTGAGTCATTCAGTTTACAAATGTAATTTAAGGATAAAACTACATGTCTGTCCTCAAGGAATTTATGGTCTAGATACAGGAGGTGTGTTTGAGAACGTGGATTACTTTTGTGTTACTGTAGTATGGTGAGACTCTTGGGGCCTATGTAGTCAAATTGTTGCTATGCTAAATGACACAGCAGTCCCTTTTCGAGATTGCTTTTTGTAAGTTTTTCCTATTTTCTTTTTTTGTTGTCAGTAGTATCTCTTAATTTGTTCCTAGTCTGTGAAACTAAGTCATTGAACTTGTTAAAATTGTATATACATTCTTAAAAAGGCTCAGGATGGACCTTGAAGATCTTAAAAGTATGTGGACTCTATGACATTGTTTTTGCTGATTTTCAGTTATGTTCTAGTTCAGTGCTTCTCAAAATTTAAATGTGCATTGGAATTATCTGGGGAGCTTGTTAAAATGCTACCCAGGTAATTGTAGTTGTGATTCAGTAGATTTTGAGGTGGAACTTGAGATTCTGTTTCTGACTAGCTTCTGGGTGTTGCCGATTATGGTGGTTTATGGACCACACTTTAGTTATCAGGGTTCTAGATTATATGTATATCAGAATGAGTAGGTCAGAGGAATTTGTGTATGTCACATTGTATCACCTTACATGTTATACTAAAATACGTGTAATTACATGACTTATCGTTGCTCTTTAGATAATGAACTTCTCAAGGGCAGTGGCTGATAAAAGGCAGGCGGCTCAGTAAATGTTTGTTGGGTGAATGTACGCATGAATGAATAAAGACTTTCATATAATTATGTGCAATAGCATACTAAGCTGTCATTTCATAGAAATTTCCTGACTCCAGTGTTTTTGTGAGCTGTGGAATTGTCTGTTAGTATAATGCTTATTCTTTATGGAAAGCCAGAGTAATCAAAAAATTCCTCGGCTTTCAAGCTCTCTGGGATTCAGCCATGTAAGCTCAAAGGGTGTGCTGAAATTTTTGTAAAAATGCTTATAGTTAGTTTGAAGTGATTTGAATTTAATTTAAAAAAATTAATATAAGTTGGGAGAATCTGGATTTGTAAAATTAAACATGTTGAATTGTTACAGTGAAAAGATTGGTAATTACCCTTCTTGGTATTGAAGAAAAATAGCACTGGATTTGAACATATATTCTCATTTTCCAAGACTTTCTTCCTGAAATAATGTCTAAAGATCTAAAGTCATAACTTAAAAATTGTTTTGGTCTTGACGTTAATTATATAACTGTTGAAATTGGGAGTTTGTTTAATTAAAAAATGTTACTTAATATTCAGCTTTTAGTGTTTTTTA